TCTATAAGTAGCGAGCGCTACCAAATCCTTATTTCCCAATCAAGAAAGCTGATTTTTTTACATATGTAAGAGTGACTTTACTTTATTACTTCAAAGGTAAAACGATTGCATTCCATAAAATTTTTACCGAGTTATGAATTTTTGAAAATACCTTATTGAAATTTGTGAGGAGTGAGGTACATGCGGTTGAAAGCTATTTCCTCTTATGTGGGACCTGATCCAGAGTCAAGTCTATTGCAGCTTAAAAGTAAATAGATCCAGCAGGTTAAACATAGAATAAAACTTTTGGGCACTCTTCATTTTGCTCCGTAGAGAGCTTTATAAATTTCATAAATATTCGCCATCTTGATCGAAACCAACGATAATGCGGTCCGACCAGCAGACAAGTTTCTAAAGCGTGACAGCCCTAAAATACTTGAAGGTGCGGAAACGATTTTCTGATGGAGTATCAAGATCGATGAAAATCATCATTTTGGCTATTTTTCACGAAATGGCTCAAATGTACCGCAGAAATACTTCTTTACAATTCCTATATGCAAATTCGCTTCATGCGTTCGTGTTATAATATACGTCAAGAATAGTTTTCGTAATAACCTCTAACCATTCAAAGAAGTGTTTCTATAAGTGTAAAACTCACCTGTTGTATCCTTTCTTGAAAGCTTTACGTAAAATCTCAAGAGCTATTTCCTCTGAACACAATACGCAGAGGGATCCAGTTTGTTTTGACAAATAAGTAGTTCATTTCGCTCAAGTGTTTGTATCTTGTGCGTAATCTTTTCAGGCCTCTTTCGCTGGTTTTCTTCTGGCGAATAACTCACCCTTACTTTGGAAAAATTTTGTCTCGCTACTCGTGAAAATTTTGTTAGAGCCAGTTGGTTCTCATGATGAACAAGATGGAGTTTAGTCAGCGTGACTATGGACTGCTGTGAACTAGACTGGTCACGCAATACCAGCATTAAAAGATTGTCTCACGGCTGGTTAAATCAAATTAAAGAAACATTTAGTTCGGCATTTCTATCATGATACGTTGATGTTTCGGTATCCAGTCGTTTCGTACCTATGGATCTTTCGTACCTAGGCTCAGACGTTTCGTACCCACTTTCGATCAGTTCGTACCCAACCCTCTGGTCGATTCGTACCCAACAAATTATGACACAAAAGATTTAAAACGCTCGCACCCGCAAGGTATATGTGTGATCTTATTTGTTATATTGTTGAACTTTACTTAACAATAAAAGTGTCAGTGGCGCGCCTAAGGTAAGTGTTGTTTGCTTTTCTATTGTTTAGACTTGAACTGAACTGAACTGAACTTAGACATTATTTACATTTACTACAAGGATTTTTATTTATTACTAAGTAGAGTAAGTATGTTTAGTCGTATAGGCGCTCCGTGATAATGGGCAAAATATATTAGGATAGGTTGGCTAGGGCAACTAGGTCACGAAATGTTTGTTTTATACATTTTGTGTCAAAATTTATTGGGTACGAATCGACCAGAGGGTTGGGTATGAACTGATCGAAAGTGGATACGAATCGTCTGGGTACGTAAGATCCATGGGTACGAAACGACCGGTAAGCGATGTTTCGCCATCGAGAGTCTGAAAATCTCTCCAGAAGAAATTGAAAAATTATGCAACTGATATGAATTGGTATATTTTATTTAATAGACGTTTCCAAAAGTGAGTAAGCGAATCTAGTAACTTACATTAAAGGCATAAATCACTGAAAAAATTTCGAAGAGGCAATAGAGAAAGTCTCTTGTAAATGCTCGTGAATGCTATTGAGTGAGGGTCAACATGACTCACGGTCACTGTCGGCTTATAATTGTTTTGTTTTCAAATTAAAGGCATGACTACAAAGTAACAGGCACCAATTTTAAAATGATTTCCATGGTTTGATTACAAGTTAATGCATTAATTTTCTATCTTTTATGGATAGAAAATTACTCGTTGGTTATGTTTGAGAGTTTTTGTTGCAAATTCCCCCAAGCAATGTTGTTTAAGAGGATTTTTAATTCTTAGCCTTGTTTCCACGTTACCAAATTTCTGACATATGCGGTTCTTGTCTCTAGAAGTTTATTTGTCTTGGCTGGTGGGGTAGAAGACACAGTATACATCACTATAGAATTTCATCACAACCAGAAATAAGAAAACAATGAAAACAATAGTATGATGTACACTGTGTCTTCTTTGTCACCGGTCTATGTCACAAGGAAATCGCACAAGACTTGAAAGCATGTGACCAAAAGAAGTTGACAATAACTAAAGACCATATGATGTCAACAATAACCATGGCTTTAATCATGCTGACCATGTATTTACGATCAACCTGGTTTAACATTAACCCTTAAACTCCCAAGATCTCATTAGTCATTCTCCTTACTGTCTGCTATACAGTTCTTGTGATGTTAGTTTTTAGAATTTGGTATTTAATCAACTTCTAATCCCCTAATTGATATTTTTCTTTATTCTCATCACTTGTCTGCTTGATATTGTATTGATATTGTGAGGAGAAATTCTGTCTTGGTCACTTGTGGAAGCCATATCTCTCTGTACCCATCACAATCAAATGACAATTGTAGTTAAAGTTTGTAGCATCTTTACAGCTGTTTCCCAATGTTATCTTTTGATTTGGAATAGCTTTTTTGTAGTATTTTGTGAAGGTATCCTCCAAGGACCACTCAGCATTGTCCATGATAGTTTTTACTGAGAGGTGCTGAGCTGTTGCTGCTGAGGGTGATGTAGCCCTTGTGCTGTGGGCACTGAAGGTAGAAGTATCTGTGCCTGCAAGCTTCAATTTGTGATTCAACCATCTTCTGACGGTGTCCTTGGAGACTGGCCCGTGTGGTTTCTAATAACCAACCAGCAACTCATAGTGGTCATGTCTCATGTCCTTGGTACTTATCGGGTATTTGGAAAGATATCTGACCACAAAGAGATGAGGATCTTCGTTGAAGGATAGAAATTGTAGCTCAGTAGGGTATTTTCCAGGTTTCATAGTTTTTAACAATTCATTAACACTAAACACAACTAAATGCTGTCTGAGACTTCCATGTCCCCAGTAGATCAGGCATGATTGGTCTGGCAACATTGGCCTGACAATATGGCCATTAACATAACTAATTTTAATGTCAAAAGTTTTGAAGATAAACTCTCAGCAAGATGCAAAGTTTTTAAATGTTCAAGAACTAAGTTCACATCACGTTTGTATTTCAGCAGGGCTAGTTACATAGTAAATGTTCCCTTCAAAAACTGAGAAACAAGTGAGTGTACAGCACAGGTCCTGAGGGATGTACAGTGTGTCCTTTCTGTTTGAGAGCACTAATGGTGCTTGTATCAACATCCTTGTTGGTGTTGATCACCATGCTTTAGTGGGCCAAAATGATACAAGTAGTAAGCCTATTGCTTGATCCTGCTGTATCTTTTGAAGGGTTCTCATAATCACACTAAAGGGTGGAAAGGATAAAAAACATACCATGACCATTGTACCATAAAAGCATCTACAGCCACAGCACCTGGGTCAGGCTTGTATGATACATAGGGTTTAAGCCTATAGTTCACCCTAGAGGCAAACAGGTCAATATCAGGTTTAAATAACAGTCTGCAGATACCCTCTTCATATGACTCCTGATTAAGAGTCCACTCGGGTTCTCTACGATGCTGTCTAGATTCCCTGACAGGGACTATGTTGTTTTCACTAGGAATATAGGCTAAAGTCAGTCATGTTCCTCAGTGAATACACCAAGACCATATTCCCTTGTCAAGCACCTCAGGGTCTGAGGTTAATTCTAGCCATTTGGAATAAAATTTACCTATTAACTGTTTAATGCTCTTAACACTTGACTCAAAATTACTGACCAGCAAGGTTTCCTTTACAGCTGCTCCTCTACGATTTTTTTGCATTTGCTGACGTTTGTGAGATTTCATTCAGAGCTTTCATATTGTTAAGCTGTTGTTGGAGATCATCTCCAAAGAGCAGCGAAGTAACTAGGGCATTTTGTAAGCAGAGCCTTGCCTACTCTTTCTTGAGGCTATGTCTTATCCCCTTTTCATCGAAAATTCGTTTTGTGTCTGGCCCAATAAAGCCAGAGTATCAGTATGAAAACCGACCACTTCATCAGATCAATTGACTTGGCATCTGGGTAAAAATTTCCGCACAGCCCTATCCCACATTATGCATTCAGTTCTTGAGAAGAGAGAACAATGACAAAAACAATACATTTCCATTGGGAAAACAGATTTGTTTTACAATAGTATGGGGCTGTACGGAAACTTTACCTTCAATTTCTCCGACCATCTCTTATTGATGATTTTTGCGAGCTTATCTGAGACGTCTTGGTCAGTTTGCTCATCTACGTTGAGGTCATTAACTGACAACATGTTGTCGTTCAGCTACAGATGCCTTGATGTCAACGTGTCGTTGGATACTGCTGAAGCGGCCGGCACTACCATTTGTGTTGGAGGGTTGTCTTAATCTTCACTGAGAAGTGCATCTTCATCCTCTCTGCTTAATTCCTCTCTGATGTCGTCCTTTGGGCTCTCATTGTCCAGGGTACGTTTTCCCGCTATTCTCTCAACTCGCAATTACGCTAAGATTTTTTGCTTATTTCGGATCCGAGAAGCGCCCAACAGATCCAAATTTGATGGGTTTAGAGATAGCAGTTCGCAGCGATCCGATAAATAGAGGTTAAAGTGGAATAATTTTTCCTAAATGACTATAAAATTAGTTGATAAATTAGTTGATGAAATTGACATTTGTCCGAATGCTTGGAAGTTCCTAAGCAACCGAATGCGGAGGTGCGCACGCATATCTCACGTGATTTCCTTAGGACCTAGACTGGTGACGAAATAGAATAGATATATGTTATTTTTAGGGTCCAGATAATTCCTCCAAAGTGTTGGAGCAAAGTTTCCTGCTTTTATCATTCATTTGAACAATTTTGGTCGATAACCGCTAGACTTGTAGGAGCGTCAATAGGTGATCCAAATATTTAAAGACCCATGGCCTCTGATTTAAGAAATTTGCTCAGTAATATCGATTTGACAGCACGGTCGTCACAAGAACATCATGAGAACGTCTCACTTGAATTACCTTCCCCGCCGAAAGGTTCTCCTACATGCAACGAAGGGCAAGAGTCAGCTTCGCAATCTAGTCTTCGGTCCAACAGTCATTTTTCTCTCCATTCAGACACTGGCGAAGTGGAAATTTTCTGGCCGTTTGAGGTATAACTAGGGTTCTGTGAATTTGTTGTTCAGCACTCAAGGCTAAACCTGTTGGTCGCTAGTTGAAAAAGTTTCTGGGCTAAGTCTCATGGGCTGCCAAACCAGTCAATATTCCCTTTGTATTTATGTGACCCAGTTTACTTTTAATATGGTCAGTTTGACTTTTTATACGGTCAACTTTTTACTTTTTAGATGATCAACTCAAGTTTTTATGTAATCAACTTTTTCTTTTAATAAGGTCAATTTTTACTTTTTATATGGTCAGCTCAAGTTTTTATATGGTCAACTTTTAACTTTTTATATGGTCAACTTTTAACTTTTTATATGGTCAAGTCGACTTTTTATATGGTTAACCTTTTTACTTTATATATCGGTTAGTGTTATGGCAGACTGCAGATTTCAGATTGCAGACTGCAAACCAGGGGTTAAGTGCAGACTGAGGGTAAAATGCAGACTGAAGACTGCAGGCCAGGGGTAAAAGGCAAACTCATTTCAAAAACAACCTGATTCCCCGGAAAAACTTCAAGAGTGACCTGGGATCAAGGCTGCATAAGTTGTGAGAGGCTAACAATAATTGTCATGGCGATTAATGTTTCAAACTTCACGTCCTCAGATGGTTTTGGCATTGACATATTGTTTCAAGTTAAGAATGATTAGAAACATAACTGTTTGAATATGCAGTTTACAGCCAGCTAAATACATTTCCCTTATTCGTATAAGAAATAAACAGTTCTGCTGAGCAACATTAGGTAGCTTTAATATACATGTAGCTCATGCATACTTTGTTTGGCCTTAAAAGTAGTAGTGATAGGCTTTCATCCCACATCGGCAATTTCAATTACTTGGACAATAAAAACCTAGTTCTCATACCTTTGTTTTGCATTGCGAAGGTAAACGTAATCTTGGAGTGGTGCTTTGTATCAGAAGCTTCAAGATGTTCAACACTTCACTCTTGCGCTTCATGATCAGGTCAATACTGTAGTGATAAATGGTTGATTCTTCAAGAACCAAGTCTGCATTTTACCCCTGATCTGCGGTCTTCAGTCTGCATTTTAGCCTTAGTCTGCACTTTACCATTGGTCTGCAGTCTGCGTTTTACCCAGACTGATATAAATAGTAAAAAAGTTGACCATATAAAAAGTTGACTTGACCATATAAAAAGTAAAAAGTTAACCATATAAAAAGTCAACTGGACCATATAAAAAAGTAAAAATTGACCGTATAAAAACTCAAGTCGACCATGTAAAAAGTACAAAGTTGACCATATAAAAACTTGAGTCGACCATATAAAAACTACAAAGTTGCCCATATAAAAAGTAAACTAGGTCACAGTAATACAAAGGGAATATTGACTGGTTTGGTGCCCCACAAAGTCTAGTTGAGCCCCTTGTAGGGAGATGATCGTAAATTTTGATGAGGTTCCTCCTAAATTGATCACATGAAGGAAGCAAATCACATGTATCCCATGGAAACTTTCCCCCTCTTCCCTATTGTTTTCCCCTGGTGCAATGTTCACAGTGATGTTATGTTTTCAAGCATGAATGTGAAGCATGTTTTGTTAAAAGCATTTTTTTTAAAGAGAGAAGCTTTCAGTTACTTCGGCCATCTTTTGTTTTTGTTAACAGGGGGAGTTCTCCCGCAATTACCACTGTGAATTTGGTAGGAGTGATATCATAGCACAAGGACCTTCTAGAACATGCTACCGTGCCATTGTTCTAAGAGTTGATACTGGGAAAGAACGGACTGTTTGTATAAAAAGGGTAAGGCAGAAGTCTATGGAAACATTAGCTACATGAAACGAAACTTGGTTAAAGTAAGGATCATTATTGGCTGGTTGGAAAAGAAAAGAATGATTTTGGACATCAATTTATCTTAGGAGAGAACTAAGCCCTAATCACTTCCTACACCCTAAAATAATGTTGTCCATTTGTCTGTGCAAGTCTGTCTCTGAAATCAGCTCAGTTAAGGATAAAGTAAATCCTAATATAATCTTTATTGTTTACATTGTTTATCCCACTAATTTCATGTCAATTTAAACAAAACAATCTTCAAGAGTTCAAACACCTAAGGGACTGCACGGGGGACTTTATGGGAGATGTTGAAGCTTTGAATCGATGGATTGCATCATGGCCTAATGTTCCAAATGATGAAGATAAATTGAGTGTGTTTTTAGAGCATACAATATTTATATTTGTTTTAACCATTTAGACAAACATTGGAGATTTTGCCAATGAACTTAAGGTTTTGCAACTTGCAAGGAAGGAGAATGTTCCACAAATAGTTTCATTCTTTGGTGCTATAACCAAACGCAGCGATGCTTTCATGTTCTTCGAGCTTTTGGAAGGTAAGGAGAGGTTGATTGTTGCTTTCTTTATGCATTTGGTGGTTATCATCTTATGTTGTTGGAGAAAATGAAGCAAGCTGAATTGAGAAGGCATTAACAAATCAATCTTTCAATCCACATGTCTTTACAGTCTGTGCATGTTTCATAAAGTAACCTGCTCATCAATAATAGTAATAAGATAAATGAAAAATTCACTCAGTTCTGATTGGGTAAGATAAATGTAGTTTTCAGATAATTCAATGCAGAAGAGGTTTAGTTCAGTGCAAAGAATTAACAAACCAGACTGAAAAATTCCTTGAACTGTTTAGCCGAACTTTTTTTTTTTGGCACCTGAAAGATGTGAAAATATCATTATTTATTATTGTTTTGATTGTATGCAGTTGTTTTGACTGAACACACAATGTCACATGCAGAGTTTGAATAAATTATTTTTGCACTTGATGCATGTGCTTTACCTCTGCATAGTTTTGAGAAGCTATCTCATATTTTTTCATGTCTTTTATTTATACATAATCGCATGATTTTTCTCGTGCAGTTTGGAATAAATTAGTACTTGTAAATTTTTTCAAAGACTACAAATTGCACTTGCCCTATGGGCTCGTGCAATTTTGCTAGTCTTTTGGAAGAATTTAATTGAGCTCATTTATTCCAAATTGCACTTGAAATCATGTGATTACTTGTACTAGTTGAACTGAGTGGAGTACAATTTGATCTGAAAACAAACACCTAATTTCAAACTCACAAGTTTGATTTCAGACCAAAACTGCACAACACAGAATTTCTTGTTACACTGTCAGTACAATATCAAGCAGACAAGTGAAGAGAATAAAAAAATATCAATTAGGGGATAAGTAGTTAATCTAATTCCAAATTCTCCAAATTAACATCATATGAATTGTATGGCAGGTAGTAAGGGGAATTAATGGTGAGATCATGGGAGTTAAAGGGTTTAAACCTCTCTCAAGAATAATAGAGTTTTTTCTTTCCCTGTTAGGTATCGGTCAACAGCAGTGTCTATTACATGCACAACAGCTTAAGCCAGTATGACAATTTCTCTTTTGTTTCTCATCAGGTGGGACTATTGCTAATCTGATTGATGAAAGGAAGGGAGAGCCTCTTCCAATCATTCCAGAAATTGATATTCTGCATTATGTAGTAGATGCTCTGGCTGCTTTAAAATTCATACATGAGAAAGGGATAGTACACGGAGACATTTACGGTAATGTGTGGGCCATATTGCATTTTCTTTTTTATATGCTTATTTAAGGTATGTCGGCTGGCAAACTAGAATAAGTGCCTTCATAAAGGTTCTCATTAAAAGTGGAGTTCAGAGGAGTCTGATGACTTCACAGAAAGACCCTTTTCCATTGTCCTTCCCCACTCTCTTTTCATCCTTTATGCAGAAGTCACGCAGGAAAAAAGTGCTTGTAGGAATGAAATCATGTATGTTTTTTTTCTAACAGGAAAGAATTTTGTCCTGGACAAATTTTTAGTAAAGGTCAAACTAATAGACTTTGGTGATGCAATGAGCATAGAGGTAAGTTAAAGTGACAAGAAAAGTTGGGAAGGAAGCAAAAAACTAAACTATATTAACAGGCAAACAGATGTCACTCCATATCTCCAATCACACAGCTTATCGCGCAAATTTCGTACTTAGATACTACGTGCGCTCTTATCGGTAAGATATATCTCATATATTGACTAATCAACTCATAGCTATTGCATTAAAAACCAAAGGCTGAATGCACTCTTTTATCGGTTTATGGGGCTTATAACCTTGTTGGATATTGGTAAAACTCTGTTTTCCAGTACACTCCTGTAATCCAATAAAAAATGTGGTCTTCAAGAACCAAATGAAACAACAGCCAATTTTTGAATAACAGAAGTTCCCCTTTCTTCCAACAGGATGGAGGTAATGTGAATGTCGATATCTGGGATATCGGCTGCCTGATTTTGAAGATGTGGAATGGTGAGAAATTTCAGGTGAATGTTGTGAGCAACTTTATTTAAAAATGTTGTCTTGTTGAAGATTATATTTGGGCAATCATGACTGTAGAGATAATGATAACCAATACAATTTCCTCAAATGTGGCTGTTGCACTAACTGCTCTATTGTTCACCAATTACTTTGTGGAGTTGTAATCAGACAGTTGGCTGTAATTGGACACATGTAATCAGAGAGTTGAAGAAGCCAATCGTACTTAGTCTTCTCCACTAAATTCACCAATCACAGAATTGATGACCATAACCATAGCAACAACCACTTATCCCAAGAAAAACTGGGAAATATCTAAATGGAGGAATTTTTAACTATAGGAAGTGTCTCCACTGGAGATATTTTTTTTAGATGTATTTTTCTGATATTGTAATGGTTGTGATTAATTGTTACAGGAATTCGTGTTTTCCAATTCTGTCTGTAATCATACTAGTGATTAACAAATCTTACTCCTCTTGCTTTGCGATCGTCCGATTTTGTTAATAAATCGTATGACGACAGACCGAATTGGACTCCACTCAGTCCTATTACATAATTAATGACAGTGGTATAGGACATTGAATTTGAAATGAAAGCAAGAAACTCGTGTTAAAACACCAGAACCTTTGACATCTACCTTCTATGCCTTGATGCATAAGATAGCTCGAGTTATGTGTTTTGTGGAGGCAATTTTGTGTGCTTCGTGGTGGCCATCTTGAAAATAGTTCTGTGCACCAGGTCTGAAACAAGTTGCGCATGGGTCTATAAGGTAAAAATCTTTGGAAATATGATTTCTTGTCATTTTTCAAAGTTTTCATTGATTCTTGACCATCACACAATTCGTTTCATACCTATTAAGTGTAATTGTTTTCAAAATGGCCTGTGAAAAACAACCACTGGCATAACTAGAAGTAAGTTTTCTTCTATTGAAATGTAAACACTAGAAACTTGAGGGCTCAAAGACATAAACGAGTATAATGGCTGCTACTGCTAAGAAATGTCAGCATAACTGAAAGCAGTCTTGTGCCATCGACAAAATGGTAGGTGGGTGAAGGGGATGGGGATCTAAATGTCATAGATTAGCATCCCATTTAAGCAAAGCAGTTGAGGCGAGGTAACCCAGTCCTAGACTGATGCGGTAATTTTGTAAATTCATCCTTGTAGGTAGGAGCTCTTGGGATAGAGAACTTAAAGGAGTTTATCCCTTCTGAAGCCAAAACATTAACTAAAAAACTCTTACAGCGCATGTTACAAGTAAAGGAAGATATCCCTTCAGCTGCGGAGCTGTTAAGAGTCTCTCAACGAGACTATAAGGAAAAAGTGGTACATTTCCTCACGTTTAGTGGGGCTGGCATTTTCCCTTCAGTTGGAGAGCTTTTTAGTAACTTAAAAGCCGTGGTATCTTCTCCCGAATTAGCAGGACACACTGTGTTATCAATTTTTCCATCGGGGCAAGAAGGAAGTCGCAATTTATTATTGTTGCATTGTGTTAGGAGGGGAAGGCTGCATCACGGCTGCAGAGGTTATGACAGCCTTTCCACGAGAGCAAAAGGGAGTACGTGTTGCCTGCATACATGTTTGAGTGGATGGCAGTAACTCTGTGGCTGCAGAGGTGTTAAGAGTGTCCACGAGAGCACCGGGCAGTCATGCTACATGTCATCTCACCGATTTCAATGAAACTTTGCCAATTTAAAGGGTCTACCCCGAGACTCAAAAAGACAAACTGGTTTCTGTTTTGGCTTTTTCCGGGGGGGGGAATAAACAACCCCCCTGTTTTTCTTGGTTTACACCAAGGAAATCTCTTCAAAATAGGTAAAATGTATGAAGCTCTCACTGCGATGGTATTTATTTAAACAATTACTCTGAAGGTTTGCACACATATTGTTACATCCTCAGTTAATGTCCGACGTAAGTATCAATCAATTTGATCGACGGCTTGTCAATCAACAGAGGTAATTAAACGACTGTGTTTTTAGACTTTTTGATTCAGCCAAATATTTGACAACTTTTAGGTCAAATGTCTCCCCTTGCCAGAAAGCTACGACTCTAATTTTAATTAAATCTCCAGGAGATGTCAAGCTGGCCGATGATGTTAATGTTTTTAAGTCTAAGCTAAGATCAATTCGGCTGTAATTTTTATATTTTTAAATTTTTTTGTGTGGGTGCGTAATTTTTATAACATTTTATATTCGTGTGTACATAGATAATAGATCATGTATTTCAATTTCTTTTTTCTTCTTTTAATACTAGATTTTGTTATTGTAATTGTAGATTTAAAGGACGTTCGTATTTTGAACGAGCACTTGCGCTCTTAGACGATAACGTGGTTTTTATGAAAAAAATAAATAAATAAATAAAAAATAAAAAAAGGCATCCAAGACAAGAATACGGTAGTGCCCAAAGATTTTTTTTTAAATGGTTTTAAAGATAAAATGATGAATTATAAAGGAGAATCCGTAGTTAAGCGCACTTGTAAGTAAGAGTTCTTCATAAAATTGAGATTAAATTTAAATTTGGGAACGCAAACTTTAACATCATTTCCCCTTAAATTGTAAGACGTTTCTCTTATGCTAAGAGTCTGAAATGTATTTCGGCCCTATATTCCTAATGCATTTAAACAATAGGATCAGAGATTGCTTAATCTGAAGTATTCAACTTACATATATTTAAGAGGTCTTGGTAAGACAATGATTTCCCGTGTCCTGTCAGTGTCCTTAATATGTAATGATTGGCGTCTTCAATTTTATTGGGCTGAAATTTCCCAACCCCTAACAGGAGGGGACTACAGTATTCTAGATGTAATAAAATGAAAGACTTATATAATGCTAGCATAACGTCCATAGGTACAAAACGCCTAATTCTCCTAAGTGCGCCGGTCTTCGCATACGCCTTTTTTAGCTGACTAGAAATATGCTCTTTAAAGTTTAACATGCTATCAAGTTCCACGCCCAAGATTCTAATAGAGGGAAGTGTAGTAACGCTAGAACCATTCAAAGTTAAGTCAAAATCGTACTTGCAAGGACCGATCGGAAGGGCTTGCGTCTTGGCATTGTTTATCAACAAATAGTTTGCATCGAACCATTCCGACAGGCGGCTGAGACCCTGATTCACAACAAATTGAAGAGCAGTGGGCGAGACATCTGATACAAAGTCGTTTAAAATCTGCGACTGTGACAAGCTTCTCTCAACTACACCTGTGACGCAATTCTGGCTCTAGACGGTCACTTGACCAAATAAACCTACATTTTTTAGTTCTCCATACAAGATGATTGATGAAGAAAGCTAAAAAATGTGAAAAACTCAAGAGATTTTTCGTAGGAATGGAAAATTTCATGTTTAGAGAGATGCACGTAAGTAAGAAATCGATGGGAAAATCGTAGCGTTTATATCTTCTATCATTCATTGGTTTGGAGATTAGCTAAAATCAAGAAATAGGGCTTTTGTACGGAACAAAACATTCATTAGTCTATAATTTGATTGTTTATCATCATCATTGCTCGATTTAGGAGATTTTAAAGTCACACTCTGCGTTTGTGAAATTGTACATTCAGTTGATCAAGGAAACTACATATGTCAGAAAAAAAGTACGGAAATTTCAAAAACTCATGATTGTGATAACGATGTTTGAGATACATCAGATAAAATCAGGTGATAAAACGTGACATCGACACCATCAGAATCTGATGTAAAACCAACGTAAGTTTTTTTCTCCAACCAATTCGAGGAAATGCTGCAAAAAGCCGAAAAGTGGAAGCCAACATTTACAGCTTACCATCAATAGTTTTTCTCTTTGAGGGACCATTCAGTCTATGCCAAATGATTTGTGAGGCGAGAGGTAAGAGAATTTAGTGACGTCATTTTGTCATGAGCGTGAATTGCCGGAGAAAATGGAAAAGCAAATAAATTCAAGATACACTCACCAGAAGCAAGAATTGGAAAATCGCGTTTTTTGAAACCTCTCAATAAGTCTTGATAAGTCGAATTTCATCTCACGATATTTAACAAAACTCAACAGAGTGCATAAAAAACAAGGTGAAAATTTAAGTGTTAAATAAGAGGCCACCGTTTTCAGTATGCAAAAAAGGAAAAAAGAGCGGAACGGCATATGTACGTCGCATTACATATATGGTAATAAAGTGCAGCTTTTTCACAAGTTGTTGTCACCTAGCTTCTATCTTCTAGCTTTGCAGCATTAGCAGTTCTTTCAACCCAACTGGAGGAGTTGTGGATCGTCTGTCAGTGTCTGAATAATTGCGCTCCTACCCCTCCCTTAAGCCAACTTAATTAGCCCTAATTTCATTTCAGTTGACTGTTTTGGGTTAGGGAAGGGGTAGGTGTGCAATTGCTCAGATTCTGACATTGATTCGGAGCTCTTCACGTGACTAAACACATTGTAAGTTGGAGTTGTCAAGGGTAGAGGAACATTAATTGGATGATCATAAATTACAAAAAAACAAGGATGAAAAATGAAAAGTTCGTTAAAAGGAAAACTCAGTCCTTCGCTCACAGAAGAGCAGGCCTGCGCGTACAATCAACATTATGGGCAGGTAATACTTCGAAGAACATCAGTATGCATATTCTCCATACACTTCTCTATACATTTCCTGAAGTGCTACAAAGAGAATTTGTTAAGCAATCAAGAGCTTCCCTAGATGGTGATCATTTCCTTTGTTTATATTCGCGACCTTGATGTGTGATTCAGGGATGATCGATCTTGCAAGGAGAAAAAGATGTTAGTCACTCTTAGGAGTCAAAGGGTTAATTAGTAAGAACTTTTTTCCTCTACTGTCAGAATTCGATGTGATGCTGAAACCGCCAGGGAGTCTTTTTTTCTCATATATATATATATATATATATATATATATATATATATATGTATATGTATATATATGTATATATGAGAAAAACTACTAGCCTGACGATAATCATTCATTAAGTACCTAAAGTGGTCATCCGAATGAATGTCAGGTTGCAGAGTCCGATCAGTTTCCATACTTTGGGCACATTAATATTCGTCAACTGTGACTTCAATGTTAGCTTTTCTTTAAAAAAATGAAAAAACCCAAATAAAGATTGAAATAATGATAGAACGAGAGAAAAACTTTTCGACACTGCTGGCAAAACTCTTGGGTAATGTTAATCTAGTGGTACTCTGCATGTGCGGTGTTGGCGAATCAGAAACGCTGCTTGACACCACAAGATTATACCGTAAGGAGTTTGATATAATAACTAAGATATCAAGCGCGCTCTCAGAGTTTAGACACAAGTTTTGGACACAAGGATGTGACACGCGCCGACTATCGTAGTTGTAATCGCCATCTTGGATTTTAACGCTTGAAAGACCCTGGGAACGAACATAATTGTTTATACCCACAATTCCTCGAATCTGCTGTCCTGATAGTTTGGCACGAGTGGAAAACATATGTCGTACGTTTATAATGTAAAGGAAATATCACCCAAAATATGAGCAATTTCACGCATCCACGTCCTTAAATTTATTGGCAAAATATTGCTATTACATTTCTGTCAATCGAGAGGGGTGATCGTAGGAAAGTGGACTTATACTTGTGATCGATGTTCCTTCCGCCTTGTTGATACAGCTCATGTTGTCGTCGGCGGGTTACAAACTGTCTGGATTGGTGCGGTTTGTGTCGCGAAGGGCTTGACTCAGTCGCTGTTCTGCAATGGAAGATGAACATGAACAGATCAAAGTTACTGAGAAGCCCTCTATTAAAAGGGTAACAAGTGAGATTTACAACAATAATAACACTTCTGGTTACGTCAGTGACTCCAGCGACAATAATGATGTCATCGTCGATACAGAAGTTTCTGAATCTGTGGCTTCACAGAGAAGTGTTTTAACCAATTTGTCGAGCCAGTTCTCTGGTTTGACAGCAGGAGGGTCAGAAAGCGGTAAACGTGATGATATCGTCGATGCAGATATTTCAAAAGCCGCAGTCCCAGAGAGAAGTATTTTGGATGATTTAAGGAACCAGCTCTTTAGTTTACCAGCAAGAGAGTCACAAGCGCCACATCATGAAACCGTCTCATTGCTGGAGCAGCCTCCTGATAAAAAAACATCCAGTGACTCAAAAGGCTTACCTAAACTTCCTTCTCCGCCGAAACACTCTCCTATATATGACGAAGAGTACAAGTCAGCTTCGCCTATCGAAATGGATGCCATCGATTCAATGTCGTCGCAATCGAGCCTTTGTTCCAACAGTTATTTGTGTAGTCTGGCGTCATTCGATCTTCCTTCCATGCTTCAGGACGATGACGAAGTGGAAATTCTCTGGCCGCTTAAGGTATAATTTGGGTTCTGAGAATTTGTTGTTAAGCACTCAGGGCTAAGCCTGTTGTTCGCATGTTGAATAAGTTTCTAGGCTAGGTCTAGTTAAGCCCCTTTCAGCGAAGTGATCTTAAAGGTTGATAATTATAAGGTTCCTCCTGAATTGATCACATGAAGGGAGCGAATCACAAGTACTCCAGGGACCCCCCCCCCTATTGTTTTCCCCTGGTACAATAATGAAGCTCAGCTATTTACAGTGATGTTATGTTTCCGTGCATGTGCATTCAGTATATCATGATCAAAGCATATTTTTAAGAAAGAAACTTTCAATATAACTCCGGCCATCATTTGCTTTGGTTTATAGGAGGAATTCTCCCTCAGTGATCAGTGTAAATTTGAGGAGGGTGATGATTATCAGCTTGCTACCGTAGACGTAAAAGCAGGAGCATACGGAAAATGCTACCTTGCCACTGTTCGAGGAGTTGATACCGAGGAAGAAAGGGTTGTTTGTGTCAAAAAGGTAATGCCAAAGTCTATAGAAACATCAGCTCCGTGGAATGAAACTCAGTTAAAGTAAAGGTCATCATTAGCTAGTTGGGAAAGAAAATGATCATGGGCATCAATTTATCTTAGGAGAGAGCTAAGCCCTAGTTTCTTTCCACGCCCTAACATAATATTGTCCATTCATCAGTGTAAGTCCCTGAAATCAGCTCGTTTAAGGGTAAAGTAAATCCCAATGTACTCTTTATCGTTTATGTTGTTTATGCCACTGATGTTTTGTTTTGTTCATTTATTGCAAGTGTAAATACGAGGTGAATGAACTTCTGGCCCTCAGTCTTGCAAGGAAGAATGAGATTGCAGAAATTGTTAAGTTTTACGGTGCTACAGTCAAAAGAAAAACTGTCTGCATTTTTATGGAGTATATGGCAGGTAAAAAAAACATGGCCAACTCAGTCAAGCTTTCTCTCGTGTTCCGTGGTAATTAGCATGTTATTTAACAGTAGAAACTCGAGAGAGTCGAGTGACTCAACTGCAGCCGGACCAGATCTTTTTCCAAGTATTGCATGGCTAATTTAGAAACTTTAGTTTAAGGTTCTCAGTAAATAAAAGCTGCCACAGTTCTAGATTGTTGCTACTGATACAAGCAGGGCGGTTGCCTGCACGAAACTGGCGAATACTTTGGCAAGAAACGAGCAGTCAATTCGACATACATATAGACTCTTTGACATCTTTATTTTTTTCGGTCCCGGCCAATGACTATATTACAATTAAATCTGAGCGAGATATTGAACGACTGATCTAAAAATTGTGTTTAAGTATATTCTTGGAAGCAGTGGTGGGACTGCATTTTAAGTCCCTTAACTTTTAGAGGAACGTCACTATGGCGTTGTTTAAGAATTTCAGAATAGACTTCCTCACCCTTTTCTAGAATTCTACTTCTGTTTCTTAATAGGCGGTACCATTGCTGAGCTGATAAAAGAAATGGAAATTCCGGAAACGGACAGTCTTCGTTTCTTAGAGGTTGTTCTTAAAGCTCTAGAATTCTTACATTGCAAGGGGATCGTACACAGAGACATTAAAGGTATTGCACGGACTATCTTCGTTTCAATGTTCTATATTTTCATCTTCATTATAATTTTTTGCAAGCTTGAAAAGACTCCCACTGATAAAAGAAAGCTAAGAGAAAAGTGTCTGATGATTGCGCGGCGACCCCTTCCCATCGTCCGCCGCGAAATTCCCTCCCCCCTCCCTTTCTCAGACTCTTAATTTATTAGTAAAAAATTAAAGGAGTCTCTACGAAAGGAGTGTACATGCGGAACTAACCTAGAATTTTTCCTTGCAGGAGATAATGTTCTTTTAGACTTAGAAGAAAATGGATCTCTTTCCCCTAAGTTAGCAGACTTTGGATCAGCAGAAAGTGCTATGGTAAGCTTACCAAGCCAAAGTAGGGCGCTCAAAGCACCGAAGCACCGAAATGATATCGAAACGAAACCAAATAGTAAACAAAGAGTGGTCACTGTAGTTAACAATTGCTTCATGCGTCAGCGTGCGTTCTTCGAGATATGAAGCACGCGGGAAGTTTGGAGAGCACGAAAGATGCGTAAGAGTTGCTCGAGGCGTAGCCGAGAGCAACTCTAGCTTCTTAAGTGCTCTCCGAACTTCCCAAGTGCTTCATATCTCGATGAACGCACAGTTGATGTATGAACCAATTGTGTTATAACATTTTCAACCCGATGGAAATTTTTTTTCGCGAGGGATTTGTTTGCTGACGTCATGAGCGTGCACAATAGGAATATGAAGCACGCTCGCGTAATTGAATTTGATTAGACAAATTTACTAGCTATGTTATAATCTAAGCTATGCCACCCACGCCGCAAAAAACATCTAGATAATGTGTTTGGTCGTATTTTTAAGCGAATTGTTAACCAATATAAACAAAAACAGGTTTCGAAATAACGCGTTCACTTCCATTCATCGCCTGAGGGGAATTAAGGGCGGGAGGTGGGAGGGGGGAAGGGTTAAGGATGTTGGTTGTGTCTCGATGAAATTTAGTTAATCCACCAATAAGGCCCTGTAATTTTTTGTGATCCCCTTCATTGGCTGTTAAATGGCAGACAATTTTCTATAGTCCCCGCTTTATACTCTGTCGCCGACGAATGATCGTCCCTCCAAAATCCTCCGGCTCCCACCCTAGTCGTTAAAAATGACTGGTCCTTAAAGTTTCCCTTCTTCTTGGCAGGAACGCGAAGTGAGACCTTCATTCGATATCTGGAGAACTGGCTGCCTGCTGTTGGAGATGTTGAATCGTGAAAGACCCCTTCGTTTGATCGACGTGAGTAACCATTCGATTTACAAACATTCTGATGTAGGTAATTATTCGCTGAGTGGGCGGGAGATAATTTGGTGTTATTACCTGAGTTGACAATGCATATTGACCACCGTAAAGAGTTTCTGAAGCTGACGTTTCCAGCGTTAGCTCGTGGACAGAGTGAATCACAAGGGCTAACGCTAACGTCAACTTTGAAACTCTTTACGGCGGCCAATTTACATTATCAGCCCGATTGGTAAAAGCAAATTAGGTTATAGCTGAAAAATGGCTTGAACCATTGACGAAACGGGAGACGGGAGGAAAGCTGCTTGCCATGGACTAGATAAGCATCCCTTTCAGGCAAAAAAGAAATAATCCCAACCCAAAAGCAGGCAAGGTGAACCATTCAGTCCGTGTCCAGACTGATGCGGTAATTTTGTAAATTAATCCATGTAGGAAAGAGCTCTTCAGAGACAGAACTCCTGCAAGCCAGAGGAATTTATTCCCTCTGAAGCCATGGACGTGACTAAGGGACTCTTACGACTTTTGTTCGGATTGGATGGCAGTTTTCCTACAGCTGCAGCGGTGTTAAGGCATTCAGAAGCTTTTCCTGTGACAGAGTTACTAAACCGCCTTACTAAGGAATCACAAAGTCTAGAAAAATCCACTTAAAGGACCACGGATCTCTTTTTTTTTTTTTCAATCTTTTACAATGTTAACATTATTTCAGAACATGAATTCTAACTGCCAAGGACATACTACTAACGTCACATACAATACTTACATTCCTTTTTCATTCTTATTATTGAAATACAAAATTTCAATATAATTGTTACAATCTAAATTGTAATACGATTGATAAACAACACCAAATTTTCAATCGAAAGTAGCTGGAAAACGGAGGGTTTGGCTAACAACAGCCATGCAATTTCAGTTGCAAGCAAAACAAACAAGCAAACAAACAATCAAAAACAAAAACAATACAAAAAAAAGAAAAAAAAACCTAAATATTGGAGCAGGAAATTTTGAGTCCATTCCTTATAGAAGGTTCCTCCCATATTATTTTTTTAAGGCAGTGTATTATTTTGTTTGATAATTAATCTTAACTTGTTGTTTAAACCCTCAATATATGGACATACACATTTTCTGCTGCAATCCCAAAAAATTATTTTTGTATCTCTTCCTTGTATTTGGTCCAGAGTCGTGCCCGACGATTCCAGAAGAAATCTAAGACTCAGGTCTATTTCTTGTATTTGTCATGAGAATTACCGGGCGCCCACTCGAGAAATTCAAACTCAGATAATGCTTCATATGGCCTCGCCATCATGATGACATCTGGTCATGTGAAAGAGAGCCCGGAGGATTCGTCATCTCAACGCCAATATGGAATTCTACATCGACAAATCCTTTATATCGCTCAGAAAGACGATTAAAATTTATAAGAACATCTATGGAGAGTTTATTGAATAATGGTTATATGTGGATAATGCCAGTTTACAAAGTAAATGAAATTTTTTCACGGAATATCGTTGAATACAGTTTTGTACAACAACGAATGACATATTTTTGTCCGCAATTTTGTGACACGAACCTGTAACCGTAGTTATTACTTTTTTGTAAAATAAATAAATCAAAGACACTCTACTATATTGGTTTTTCTTGCCACTTTCTCATTCTATGATGCTGTTTAAGTGAATGATGTCCATTCTGTTCACTATTTTTCATGGAGGATTACTACTCAAATCAATTTTTTCGCTTGTTTTTCAGCCGTTCACTTTCCCATCCGTATTTTTTTCGAATTTGGATTGATTGTTCCCTCGGCGTCGTATCACTTAACCGTGCATTGTTCCTTTCGTAACTTCATTTGCCTCTCTGTTATCCGTCAAAAAACAAAATAAGATCGTCGTAATTCGCATTGTAAATTAGTTCATGTTTGTATCCGGAGAAGTGTACAGATCTTGTAAGTAATAATTTCTTTTCTTGTATCTTTATTGCAAATTTTGCCTGTTTTTCGTTCAAAAAGCTGTATATTCGGTCCTTGGTTAAGTGTTTCGAGCACTTGTATGTTTCCTTTCTAAATATATTTGTTTTATTTAAACGTTACTTGACAATTGTACGCATGCAAGTCTGTACAAGGAGTCATTTTCATAATTTTTTGCAGAAAACTGAACAAAAAATTACTACCACTGGAAAATTCACCTTTAAGGGATCCAAATTAGTTTCAAAAATAAGTTAGCATGTTCATGAATGTCGGCTTTAGTCAATGTGTTAAAAACTTCTTTAAAATAATTTACTAATAGAAAACAAGAATTTGGAGTTATTTAAAATAAAATGAATTGTTTTTCTAAATTGGAAAAAAATTAACAATGCAGCAATTTTTTTTTCATGGACTATCATCTAATAATTGTACTTTAATCTGGGAGTTGTTCGTCGTCTTTTAGTAAATTAAGATGTTCCATGTTATTTTATTTTATTTTTTGTTTAATAACAGTTGTATCCGGAGTTTTAGAAGTGAATTCGTTTTACATAATACCTTTTATACCACTGACAAGTTTGACAGTTACCAATTTAATTTTTTTTTTAATGTTTGTACAGCTGATTCTGCAAATGAAAACTTCCGATCGACTATCTTCAAACTTTTAGTTCTTTACACCTACGTATTATACATATTGTACGTATCTCAGTTGAAAGGCATTTCTTGCAAATTTGTCGCTGAAAAATGGTCAATATTTCTGGTTGGGAAAACGAATTTGAAGAGATGTTTGCAGACACTCTTACACCATTGTTAATTATAACCTGGCTTAAAATCATGTTACGACTTTAAGTGGAAAAAAAAAAGCGTTACTGATTTGGTCGCTAGTCCGAAAAGAAATCAAGAGGAGGAAAGAAAAGAAAAGATGACCATCAGAAATTCGATGCAACAAAGCGAAGAATACTTTTCTTATGTACGTATGTTTCCTATAAATCGTCACGTTTTTAAACTTTGGAAGTTCATATTTGATCTTCCCCATTAAAATACCATTTTTTTAATAAAACAACAATTGTAAATAAAGTCTTTATGTTGAGAATAGTGTATACTTAGAAACGATGTCAATCGGCCAGAATATAACTTTTTAATGTTCTTTTGACAGCATCGAAAGTACACAACAAGAAATTTTGCGTGGTCAGATTGTGCAAACAGGGCAGTTACTCGATATAAAGCTTACCAGACTGTCAAAGGCCCTACAAAGGTTTTCATTCGTTCGTTGAATCATTCAAGATGAGGCTAGAGGTGTTGCTTTTGGCGTTCGTCGCTACGGTTTACTGTGAACCGTTCGTTGAGGAGCAAGACCCTTTGTTAATGGATCAGGAGGATCACGCAACGGAGAAACGGCATCATAATTATTATTGTTTGGCGGTAAGCGGTCTGATTCTGAATTGAACGCTAGCTCCTTTTGGAGAAAAGCATTCACAAGCCTACGTAAAATTTCCTTTTCTTATTATTGTTAGTGGTAAGTGGTGAGCATTTCATTCCCCTTCTTTCCATTGCCGTGAGGACAAGTGGAATTGCAAAATGTTCTCGCGTGAAACGTGAAACGTGAAACGTAAAACGTGTTATGAGCACAGTTTTTTGTGATTTGTGATAAGCGTCATCCGTCCAACTTCGACTTTGACTTCCATTCCTATTTTTATGTCAAGATGAAGAATAGTACAATATAAGTAAGTAGATTGATTCAAAGTCTAAAAAACCTACAGTAACTCTTTTAAGCGTCATTCTGGTCTTAGAAACTTTTGATAAAAAAGTTTAAGTATCAGTTTACAGCGGAAACAGCTTAGAATGTGTCTCGTAAGAACGCCAAGTTCCACCAAAATTTAAGAAAAGATTGTATAAAAGATTAATTTTGAGACAAAAATTACTTGTTCTGTTGTCCGGTAACTGGATCGCAAAAAAACGAGACCGTCCCTCCCCCGCTTCTCCTCATCATTTTCCGCCCTTAGGATGTGGGGAAAAATCTCGATTGTTTCCGTTACACGTGTCAAACACCCTGAGGAAGATTACTTCTTGTCGGTGTGTATCAAGTCGCAATATTAATCTGACAACCACACCTACACGGAAAAGATATCGTACGTACTTTACTTGAGTAGTTTTACATCACTTTTATTTGTCAACCATAACAATATCAATTAGGCACATATCTTTAATTTGCTTGCTCTAGAGAAAGCGAGATGTATCATTTTTGGTTGTAACTCTGTTGGATGAGAAAAGGGTTCGGTAGCAGATCAAAATCGAACATTATGATCAGCCGGTAAAACTTCTTAGTAAGCAACGTTTGTTTGCTTATATACCGCGAACAAACTTCAAAATTTGTTTCAGATTAAAAGGTTTGAAAAGTCAAACAAAAAAATGTTTTCAACATCCGCAACTTTAAGCCTCACAGCTTAAGATGTAAACAGATGAAAGGTAAGGGGTATTTTCTTTAAATGTTGGACGGTAACTCCCTTAAATTGTTAACTGTGTAGATTTGTAAATCGTGCATTTCTTTAAATCGTGTATGGACGTTTTATTCGAAAAAAGTGAAAAATTCAAACAACAAAAAATGAAAAAAAAATTAAAAAACACCAAATGAAAACAAAGCAAACCAAACATAACAAAATAAAAAAAAAAAAGATAAAAAGCAAAAAAAATTAAAAAAAAGGTAAAATAACAGCAACAACAAACCAAGAAGAAGGAATAAGACAAGAACAAATAAAGAAATATCAGAATATATATGAACTAAGCATTGAAAAAAATATGCAATTATTGTGCGTTATAAAACAACTAAGATACCACGCGCGCCCTGATTGGTCAAAAACCGATTATGTATTGCACCATACAGAATTAAATTTATCATATAAAAACAATGGACCTCACTTTCTATTGGTTCACTGGCGTGATAACCCACTTGGCATGTTGGGAGAACACGAGAGAAATTTATAAAGAACAGTATAGAGAATATGCAAACTGATGTTTGTTTTTAACAGAGAGGATGTTACTACAATGGGCATTGCCCAAGCGGTTATTACTGCCATAGATATTACCGCCGCTGTTGTCGACTTAACCCGCGTAGATGCTCTCACAAATCGCACTGTTCTAGCTCGCAGTGCTGTGCAAAGTACTCGTACCAGTACTATGGATACTGTAGAAGCCTCAAGCAACCGGGAGGATGGTGTCCATGGAAGGGAGTGAGTTAGATTTTGATATAATTTGTCTTTAATAGAGACCTTTTTCATGTCCTTGAAAATGTATTGCCCAATTCGAAGGCGCTTTGAAAAGAAAAGTATACCTTTGAGGACAAAGGTCATTAGTCTAGAATAAAACAGTTGATAGCGTTGAAGGCGCCCTCTGATTGGCCACTCAGACCCTGAATATCCTTTGTTATTCACCTCCGTGAAACGCGCGAGGGATCTGCGCCTGAAACTGTTGTAATCGTTACAGGAATATTGAGTTAAAATCATCTTTTTGTATTTTATCATCTCACTTCGTTTTATTTGATTCTAAAACAAATATTCTCCTCAATAACGGTGGCTAGCGGTGGATATTTACCTTACCGCCTCACTGCCTGATCAATATTAACCCTTAGCCATCTCGGTTAATAGTTGTAACTATTTTCCAAGGGAGAACGACTGGAAACAGAGTTACATTCCTAGTCAGAGCCCCTGGATATGCGATTTCCAATATACAATTTATCGGTAGACCGTGCGCAGTGGTTCGGTTTCCTTCAAAATCAACGTATTTAGAATTTCTTTTGGATTTTCGCAGTCTGACGGTTACAACTGTGGCTGTGGACAAGGATACACTTGTCAGAGATATGGGTCGAATTACTATTGGGGGAAGTGCGTGGCTAGTTGTTCCAGCGACAGTAGCTGCAAGAAAACAGAGTGCTGTTCTGGTCGTCGTTGCAAACCACGGAAGGGGGCAGGAAAATACTGTCCGCGCAAAGGGGTAATTAAATTGTTTTTTCTTAATCAAAACTTTATATTCATTTTTCAAAGATATGAATTTACCTTCAGTCTGCGTCGGTCGAGGTTCTCTTGTTCTTAGTCCCACTCTTTCCCTTTAAATTCGTATTCCGATTCTTGAACCATATTTTTAAAGATTGTGTTGAATTGTTTTGACTTTTACAGTCCTATTCAGCCAAAGATTCTGTTATGTCGCATTATTTCTTGATTTTACCTTAGGTTTAATTCAATTTTTTTTGCAGTCTCTAACTTTAAAGAGCTATGTTGAAAACTTAGATCAGGTTACTCTCAAGGGAAGAACAGATATGTACACTTGCCAGCCTCCTTGCATCACATAATGACAATAAGATAAAGGGGGTTTAAATACAACGAGCGAATTTATTATGGGTCTTACTCCCTACTGGGTTGAGCAACCAAACTGAAAAATCACCATCCACAAGCTGGACTCATACCATTCGACTAACAAAATTCTCACTTGACTGATGATGAATTCTGGGGCGAAATGGTTAAAATGTGGGCGAACTTGTTTTACTTCAGCGGGCGATCTTACAAAGGGGCCAAATCCTCATAAATCCTTCTGCTAACATTGTAAAAACATTAGTCACCGTCTTTTGTCGACTGCTGATCGCGAGTTCATTCATGGTAATCACGAGGGGCAGTGTTAGATATTTACAAGAGAAGATAAAGGGACATGTAGAGAAGGAGGCTTCTGGTTCAGGCCAGAATATAGGGATATGTCATATTCACTTGAGTTCTGATTTATAGATAGTCTTAAGCGGACCATCATCTGTTCACATACGCGACTAAATATTGAACATTAGGCTTAGAAATCAATGACAGTTAATGAATTACAGGCGCTGGTTTGTCCGGTCGTTCGAATGGTGGACGAACACTGTCTCAGTGGATGAATCTCTATCCGGTGGATGGCGCAGTACATCTTGTTGACAGTTATTCTCTGGATAGCGATTTATCCGTTGGATGGTGTTATTTGCCTTTTGACCAACTGGGCCCAGGATATTAAAATGTTCAGACTAATCAAATATCACGAGTTCGTTTTTACTTGTACAAATCTTCCCTTCATCCATTATTTTTTTCGTGATATTTCTTTCCTGTACTAGTTAACGGCTGAGAATACGAAGCGTGGAGAAATATTTTGACAAGCCCAGCTATGAATAATCTTAGATACTTGTCACTTGATTCAACTTAAAACTGACGTTATAAATGCTCGTTTGATAAAATAAATTTTAACTGATAGTTTTTGTTCGCTCGATGTGATTTTTAGGCCGATATTTACCACTGTGGCTGCATCGAGGGATATGAATGCCAGGACGCTGGAGTGGGAGAGTACTGGGGCAAATGTGTAAAGGTTGCGCCCCCTACCGAGGAGCCTGGATCTGGGCTCGGGGAATAGCCTCGTCATCATGCTGAGTCCAATCGAGCCAGCGATACATTTCAAATTCGCTCAGTTGGCAACATTGGTGTAATATTAATTGCTTTAAACAAAAAGGGGATAATAAAACATGGCAAATGAAACTTTGTCTGAGATGTAGTTTGGTGGTCGTCCAAAGGGCAGACATATGCATCGAATACTTCCTGTACCTCAGAGTACCTTACTTAATATTCAAATTCTTTTTTTTCCTTTTTCTTCCTAATGTGACTGGCGTAACGTAGTCACAGTGAAAAAGTTGGTTACGCACAGCGTGATAGCTATTGTTTGCCGATTTTACTTTCATCGGATATCTTTGTCACGATGCAGATGTTCGCAAAAAGGCGCTACAAAATATTTCTTGAAATCAGACCCATATGCTCCACTACCCACTCCTCAATCCATGCCATTCCTAATTTTACAAACGATCATCATTACCTTGCGTCTTTCGAGGTCAACAAACATTTGCGGCTAAATTGAGAAGTACTACTAAAGGTTTCCAGGACCATATGCAGAGTCGTACAGTTCTTATCAAGAACTGTTTTTTAACTCGCAGCCCTTAATCAGTAGATTTTTTCATTCTTTTTATCTTCTTTTTGAAACTTACGAGGAAGAAGTCGTTAGTAGGGACTGATTTAAAACAGTGGATTAATTAACAAAAGAAACCCATTATATCTGTCTGTTAGTTTCCTTTGAATCCATGGTATCAGACAATCGAGAAAAAACGAATATTTTTATAGTTTTGTAGGACCTTTACTTGTCCTAGAGGTAAACGTGATATAACTTTAAGTTGATGTAGACATTGTTATCATCTGTGCAAATAACAAAAGGAAGGGTTTTGTAATGTCATTTTTTGTTTGAATTTCGGGCTTACAGTTCACCATCTCTCAACCACCAAATCCCAAATATATTTACTAACCGTGTGTTACTACAACAATGCAAAGGCATCGTGTTACATATGGACTTTTTCTCGAGTTTACCCGAAGCTTACCCATATAAACGACTTAATTTCCAAGCTTAATAAGGCCGATTTTAAAATTTGAGGCCTCTTGTCAGTCGATTTCGTGTGTTCACACTGACTATGACTAAATAAATGAATAAGTAGAGTTATTAATATGGTACAATAAACTCAAAACGATTGGAAAGCTATTATACATGGTGCCATCCTTCTTCGAAAAAAAACCTAACAACCTCTCAGTAAGGATGAAATCTGTGGGGTTTCCGAACCAGTGGCCTTCTTCGACAGTCGCTGAGATACTGAGCCAAGACTGTAACGTTTAAACTTAGTCGTGGAGTAAAGATTGAGATAAAAAGTTGCTTTAATTATTGTTCTTGAGCGAATTGGAAACTCAATGTTAAGAATTATGTGAAACAGCTAATCAAATATGCTTTCCGAGCACGTTCACTTTCATTAAATACGCATTCTAAAAACTAAAGAAAGGCGCCACAAACGTTGAACATGTTTAAGATGCCGCTTTCTATACTCTACACGCGCCCAAAACAAACTTCACACGTGGAGAAGAAAATTTGTAAAGCGTTGAACCAAACGGCAAATTTGAGCTGCTAACAGACTTCCCAGCGCTTGTTCAGTGCTCCTTGGTTCACAATGGATGGAAACGAGCAACGTGGCAAAAACGAAGCGTATAAACCGGGTGCTTTTCGTGCCCTTTTTACAAAAGACAAAAGACTTGGTTGGCACTGTTCGTACCCTTTGGCGAAATGAGGTTTCTTTTGGGATTTTCAGTGCTAGCATCGTTCTATGTGGTCAGTCACGGTGAAGCTAAGATAGAGGAGGATAGTGAAATCGCCAAGCGTGCTTATGTAAGTATGTTATTTTTCTAGATGAGAAAGACAAATCTAAATCACCTCATTTTGTAACTATTTGAAATCGTGGCGGAATTGTAGGATATCTAAGTGTAACTTCATTGACCCCGTCACGGTGGTGCCTTTTCGTTGTGAAAATCTTTCATATCATCAAGATAACAAAAAAAGGACATTGTTTTCTTTTGATATCATAAAACCACGATATTTGTTGATTGATCTATGAATAAGAATCGACATTTTTTTACTAAAGTGAAAAGACGTATAATTTTTTTTCGAAGGATCGATATTTTTTTTCTAAAGTGAAAAGACGTATAATTTTTTTTCGAATTGAAGCAATGTTCAGATGCTCATGGTAGAGTTTTAATAGCATTCTAAGTCAATCGAACAAGACAGCTGTTGTCTCATTCAGATACATAGATACATCCAAGACTACCGCAAAATTGTCGCAAAGGACAAACGAATAAAAGGGGTAAGTTTCTAAGGAAACTGTGGTGCTGCATCGGTGGAAGAGTTTAACAAGATAATTTGGTTTTATCAATTGAGTAAATAACGTAAAGAGTTTCTAAGCTGATGTTTCGGGCATTACCCATTCGTCAGAGCGAAGGACAGTCGAACTAAAAAATCTGTTGAAGAACCGTTTAAGCGCGCCGCATCTATCAATGATATTTTTGTTTTATCAACTGGGTTGATAATGTGAATTGGCCACCGTAAAGAGTTTCTCAGCTGTTGTATCGAGCGTTAGTCCTTCGTCGGAACGAAAGACAGTCGAGCTAAAAAATCTGTTGAAGAATCGTTTAAACGCGCTGCATCTATCGGTGATATTTTTATTTTATCAACTGAGTTGATAATGTAAACTGGCCACCCCAAAGAGTTTCTAAGCTGATATTTCGAGCGTTAGCCCTTCGTCATCACAAAGGACAGTTGAGCTGAAAAATCTGTTCAAGAAGCGTTCCAACACGCCGGATCTATCGATGCGTGTAAACAGTTACGAAGTCAGATAACCCTGTGTTGTAAACTACTAATTCTCTCAGTGCAAACAATCACCAGTAACTACATTATCCTGTAAGATTTACTAAATTTTGCCGTACCAGTTAGGCGAAGGTAATCAATCAATCAATCAATCAATCCAACTTTATTTATCGAGGGTAACACGAAACAGTTACAATACTGATAAACTTGTGGCCCTCCTACAACAAATATATCCTATTTATATACTGAAAATATCCTATAAATATATATATATATATATATATATATATATATATATATATATATATATATATATATATATGCACTAAGAAAAAGAAAGGTAAAAGGAAAATTCCCAAGTTATTTATCACTCTTCGACAAAAACACACTAACATTTCACGCAACATATCATTGGCAGATACCATGCGGCAACTATTATTGTCACGATGGATTCTACTGCTACAGTGGTAACTGCCGGCCCATTCGCTCCTGTGGAGCTCACGATCACTGCCCCTCGGACCAATACTGCGACATTCACCTAAGGGTCTGCAGGAAAGGAATCAGGAGGTGTTATGCCCACCATGAATGTGGTTACGGGAACATCTGCAAGGGTGGTATCTGTAAGAAGCGAGAGTGCAGGAAACATACAGACTGTCCTGATAACGAGGCCTGCTATTATCCGGGCATCTGCAGAGGCTACCAAGCTTACTGCCACGAGGGATACCCAGGATATTGCAAGGATGGATATGTTTGTGTAGCAAGTGAGTTTACGGAAAGTATTAGGATGTAATGTGGATCATTACGGACCAGTCATTCTTTATCACTAGGTTGGGGGGGGGGGAATGTTAGATTTTTGGGGGATCGCATGGTTTTCAGGGGAAATGGAGAAGGAATCAGAGTATGAAGGGGGGAGGGGGGGAACTATTAAAAATTGACAGCCAATGAGGGGCGAACATAAATAACATTTACCGAGCACTTGTAGGCATTTGGTAAATTTTTATCGTGACACAATCAAACCCTCCCCCCCCCCAGCCCATGCCATAAATAGTGACCAGGCCCCGGTTGTTCGAAGCATGGATAACACTATCCAGTGGGTAAATCTCTATCCGGTGGATAGCGCAATAAGTTTTGTTAACACTTATCCGTTGGATAGTGATTTATCCCTAGGATAGCGTTATCCGGCCTTAATACAACTGAACCCAGTCCTTTACAAAAACCTGTTTCTTTTTGCGAATAAAAAAAAAAGTTTTGGTTTGCAAATGAAATCATTTTATTATGATTTAGTAAAGTTTCTTTGTAATTCGCCCCGCTTTGTAGATTTTCTCCAAAAATAATGTTGTGATTCACAAGTTAATCCTTGTTAATGTTTCTGCTTTTGTAGAGAGGTGCAAAAAACGCCAATGTAATAGTAAGTACGATTGTAAGCTTGGTGACCATTGTGTGGGAGGATTCTGCAAGCCTCAGCCGGGATTTTGTTCGTCTGATGGAGACTGTGACAAAAACCAATGCTGTGCCAAAGGAAACGATCAACATGGAGTGTGCAAGAGTCTCGTCAAACCTGGGCGCGGATTTTGGTGTCCATTAAAGGTAAGAAAGACAACAACAAATTGTGTACAAACATATACAAACTTGCAAGAACAACGAAGGGAACGGAAGTTGAAGGTCTTGTTTTTCATGAACTGCAGAAATAAGTGTCTAAGAACGACCTCTCTTGCGTAGTCAAGGCTACGATCACAAGAAAGTCATATTTGTAAAATAGTGAGTCCAACAAAGAATGTGTTCTTTTTTCCACCAGGTTAGACATAAAAGATAGAATCTGATTCTGGTTTAGTGTTCAAAATCCAGCGGCACAGACCCAATGAAATTCATGCTGTACCGTCTCCGGTCCTCTAAACTCCCCCCCCCCCTCGAAATTAATTTTCATCCTAAAGTTTGCATTTGCAAAGCTTGCAATCAACCTCTCTGTTGCTCTGTTAATAGAGCATCCTTCTGATAAATCGTAACTTGCTAGAGCTTAAATCTTCATAGGAAACTCAAATCTCCTTTATTTGAATTGCCTTTCGAAGAATTGTGGCAAATGTTTCATATCCTTCTTTATTTATTACATTTTACCCTGTTTTCACAGCAATCTGTTCGCGAATGTCCTTGTGTGCCTGGATATGCATGTGAACAAACCACCACTAGCACCGTCTGGGGAAAATGTCTGCCAACCGACGGGGGATCTGGATCTGGGTCAGGTGACTTTTAGGTCACGTGATGAAATGAAGAGCATCGGGCACAGTCAATGTGTTCTGAATTGTTCTATTGAATTAAAATAACACATCTGAGATTATTGTGGGACGTGCTGGTCTTTGTTTGCTCGATAGAGTTACCGATACCAGTAAAGCGATATCAGTTAAGGGGATTCCTCACAATAAAAGTTATCGAACTATGTTTTTGCGACTTTCCTTAAATAACTTGTACCTCACCGATCTCTGTTTCGAGAAATACAATAAAAAAAAGATAGGTCACCGTGCTGGCTTAGAAGATATGATGGGCCAATCTTACCCCATTTAAGCCTGAACTGTTACTAGCCACGCGCGTTGTTCGATCGTCGGTTCACGGTACATTTTGCAGTAGCAAGAAGCAAGGGTTTCTATAGAAACACATGAAAAACTTGATTGGTAGAAAGTCTCAACTGTATTGCATTCTCGAGCAACGGGCTTCGTTCATGACAGAGTCAAAATTGTTTGAAGAAACACCTCCTGGTATCAACGGGCAAGTTAAAAAATTTGTCTTCTACTGACTAGATGTGAAAAAAGATAGAAAGGAAAGCAGAATTCTAAAAACTGGCGTTTCTAGAGATACTCCTTTGTTTAGACAAAACAGAGTTTCAAAAAAACTTTTAATGGCGATTTGTCGATAATTTTTTTAACTTCCAGATTAATGATAAGTTATTCAAAAATGGTGCACAAGAAAAGGCAGGCAAAAGCTTTGCATTCATTGTGATATAATCTTTTTTGGACTGGACGGTCATACTATTAAACACAGAGTTACCTTTTCTCCGATGAACATGACAAAAATGCAATAAATTGAATCAAAAGTAACTGATCACAAGATACCAATCACTTTGAACATAACAAAATGGTTCTTACCTCAGTCATACGAATTTCCTACCTTTAATTATTTTTGTCAAGGGCCATGGCTCTCTACTGAAGGTCAGCATTGAGCTTGGTTTCAATTTTCCCAATCAAGTTTTTTTTGGTGTTTGCGTCAGATTGTACATGAAGTTTCAAGCTGTCCCTGTCTACAGCAATATCGCAATGAAACCCTTTAAGCCTTGGAGAAATAAGCTGAACAGAAAATTAGTACTCCTTAAGTGAAAGCATCACTTGTTACAGTCAGTATCACTATCATTCACTAGACTAAATATTGCAAAATGCAAGTGTATTGTCAGTTACACACACAGACAAGGTTGCGATTCTGCAATGGTAATCGATTAATCCATGCTTAACTGCTTGTGTCTGACTTTAAAGGACCCTAGAAGAGAGCTGCAGCTATGTTGGATCGACTATCGTGATCTACAATCACTAAGCACCTCAAAAAGACTTTTAACGATCCTGTATCGATTGGTGATTCAAGATCGTCGGGTTTCTTTTAATTCGATCTTGCATCAAACCACAAAAAGACTTTTGACGACTTAGTCAGTTGCTGATTCAAGATGGTCAAGGCGTTTAATTCTATCGTACATCGGCAGATAAATGCAAAGATGCACAAGACAAGCGGTTTAGCCGGAAAGATGAATTCTGCAACGATGGTAGATCGACTATCATAATATACCGTCATTGCAAAGTATGAAAAGACCTTTGACGACTCTGTACCAGTTGGTGGTTGAAGATCGTCAAGGTATTGTATTCGTCCGCACATTGAAAGATCAATGCACACACGTATGACCACGTAACCAGAACTAAGAGAATTTTGCAACGATGCTGGATGGATTTTCGTAATCTACAGTTATTGCAAACTGAGAAGACCACTGATGATCCTGCATCGATTTAATTTTTCAATTTTGCATCAATTGATCAAGACGATCTTAATTTAAAATCATTACAAGATATACAGAGATAAATGACGATCGTGAATTGATTCGTAATCCAAGATCATCCATCGATTAAGAAACCAAACCTCAGGAATAACGTCTGACTCTTTTTCATTTTCATGCCGAATGTTTGTTGTTCTAATACCTGTACAGGCCAATTCTGCCCCACTCCACTTTCCATCTTTGATACATCTTCTTGCTGTTGAACCGGCCACCTTGGATTCTTCTTTACAAGAGAACCTGCATTCTGTGCCATTTATAATCTCTGTTTCACCAGTTTTGCATCCTAAGAACACAGCATTGATAGGTAACGGGCACGTGACAGCTAAAACAGGTACAAAAATAAAATTGGGTGCGATGTGTTAATTACGAGTTCTCTAAGATCTTTTAAGAAATTTCATTTCAAATTACTGCTTGAGCTGGTGCAAATTTTTTTCTGGTCTAAAAAAATTGTTTCTCTTTTTCTTGACCTTCGTCCTTTTATCATATCATTAACTGAAACAAAGGAATGTAAAACGGACACATTCTTAAAATATTGTTCCGAGAAAATTTCGAAGTACAGCATGTACCTTTTTAGGCACTTTTCCATTTAAGCAACTGAAATCTCCACAGACTAGAGAGTTAAAACAATGTCGGCAGACATTAAACTTCAGGCTGCTTTCTATGTACAAAACATTAGCTCTAATGTCACACTCAAAAGTCCTCAATCAGGTAATACCTATCCATGCCCCCTTCCTCTCTATACACATGAATCACTTCAAGTTTTGCTACTGTTTTACAAACCCCATGTCTGCCGGTAGCTGTCATATGCCACGAGTCCATAAGCTCCTCCGCGGGACAATGATATAACGCTTACAACAGTTCCATTGAAGACATCAAATTTGTAAATCCAATTTCTGGTCCACCCAGTGATGAATAAATAAGGAGAGATGAAGGAAACTGAATAGAAGTTTAAACCATTTTGCTGAAAGAGCAAAGTTCTGTTGTTCCCATTGTAATCAACGGATTCAATTGCGCCGCTGAACTCGTCCACCCAGTAAACAAGTTTGTTTCGTCGATCAAGAGTGATACCACTTGGCCAAGTAAGATTTGACGTTACCATAGCAAAACGTTGAGTTCCATCTAAGTTTGATTTCTCGACTTTCGAGGCGTTTCCCCATGCATTCCAAAACATCAATCTGTAGAGGAAAGCACCATATTCATGAGTAATTGAGTTTTCTTGCTGTTTCCTTTCTAGAATTCCTTTTTAATTTGCATATTTGAGTATTCCCTCAAAGCAGGTTTATATAAAATACGAAAGGATATATAAATATATATATATATATATATATATATATATATATATAAATATAAATATATATATATATATATATATATATATATAAAGTGTAAAAATTTTGACTTTCGTAAAACAGTGCTCAATACGTAGGAGTAGAGCGATGTATATATTGTGGGAGGAAAAAGACAAATAAGCTACAAGTTCATCACTGCAGGTCTGTTTCGTGGTTGCCCACTCATCAGGGGATTTCATGAGAATAATCTTTACCATCGCTTATATACAATACAATCTCATTTATGCAGCGCCAAATTTAATAGTTTAGTTGTCCACTCATCAGGGGATTTCCCCTGATGAGTGTGCAACCACGAAACACACATGTAGGTGCTCTGTCTCGGTCTTATTTTTTTTGTATATTCATTGCGTCGTACCAGAGAACACAGAAAAGTAAATATCTCAAGTAAAAAAACGCTAAGCTATTCATAAGTGTAGAAAAATATTTAGCCGGAAGAATAAACACAGTAACTTCAATTTGCTGCGAAAATATCCTTGTATATTTGTCCTCGGAAATCATCTGTTCCTCGTAGCTCACAGTTTTTATCGAGTTTCGCCCTGGCAAAATTGTCGCATCTCGGAACAGATAATGTCCGCGGACAAAAGAAAAAATTATCATGGGTGACAGGGATAAGTTCTCTCAGTTGATATTCTCTCGCCACGGACAAATAATCGAGGATATTTTTACGCCAAACAGAGGCTATTGTTTATTCATTTCAGGGTTATATTTACCCTTCGTGCGGGTCGAGAGCAATTCCTGTCGGCCTGTCAAGATCTGACGAAATGACTATACGCCTGTTTCTTCCTTCAAAGTCGGATACCCATATAGTATCATTTGTTAAATCAGTCCCATACAACTGTAATGAGTTCCAATCCACAGCTAGTCCGTAACATTCTTCTGTGCTATTGTAGATAACTGTTATGTTTGTTCCATCCATATTTGAGCGCTTAATTTTCTTTTCCTTTCTATCGGTCCAAAATATAAAGGCACGTTTGTTGTAGTCATTGTAATAGTAGTCTAAAGCTGTAGCGTATGATGAATTGGGAATGACCACAAAACTCGAATTGGTGTCGTAGGTCAAAGCCAAAATGCGATCAGGAGTGGTAACCAAAAGACAAGGAGAGTTGCATGGAAGAGGAATTTCTAAAAAACAAAACATTACAAATTTAGATTAAAAAAAACCTGATCAAATTTCTTTTTAAGTAACTCCAGGCAGCCATTCAAGGAAATTGGTTAAAAATGAAATATAACTATTTGATTATCAGAAGCATATTGATGGCATGTTAAACTTTAAGGAGCATATTTCTAGTAAGCTAAAAAGGCGTATGCGAAGACCGGCGCACTTGGGAGAATTCAGCGTTTTGTACCTATGGACGTTATGTTAGTATTATACAAGTCTTCATTTTACCACATCTAGAATACTGCAGTCTCCTCCTATTAGGGGTGGGGAAAGTTCAGGCCAATAAAATTGAAGACGTCAATCATTGCATATTAAGGACACTGACAGGGCACGGGAAATCATTGTCTTACCAAGACCTCTTAAATATATGTAAGTTTGATACTTTAGAGTGCAGGAAAAAGCAGCAATCTCTGATCCTATTGTTTAAATGCATTAGGAATATAGGGCCGAAATACATTAGAGACTTTTTTAGCATAAGAGAAACGTCTTACAATTTAATAGGAAATGGTGTTAATCTTTACGTTCCCAAATATTAATTTAATCTCAATTTTATGAGGAACTCTTTTACTTACAAGTGCGCTCAACTATGGAATAAACTTCCAGAAGATGTCAAGTTGGCCAATGTTAATGTTTTTAAGTCTAAGCCAAGCTCATTTCGGCTGTAATTTCCAAATTTTTGTGTGTGTGTGTGTAATTTTTATAACATTTATATTCGCGTGTACATAGATTATAAATTAAATATTATGAGAGGAAAAAAGGGACGTAACTACATTTCCCGACCGGG